AAATGGGGTGCATCCGCGCAGTCTGATCAGGATCCATGTTGCTCGCTTACAAAACCCTTTTACAAGTAAGAGAAACTGATAGCGTTGAACAAACTTTAACACAAGACTTAATTTTCTGGTAACATATCACAAACAATTCTAAACAATTTACCCAGTATTCCAAAATTATACATTTTTAACCATGAAACCATTTCCATCAATAGAATCAAAACATTTCATCATATCAACAAAATATAACATATTTTCTGTTATTTTCATTAAATATATTTTTCAACTAATGACAACAAGTACAAATAATGAAATATAGGCATCTACCGGTACAGTAGACATTCTTTACGAAATCAGAATTAAGCATCCAAAATAGTGTAATGTTTGTTACAAAATTTCTCAAATCGATTATTTAATGACAGTAGTAAATAAACAATTTTGACATACAACTAACAAGATTCCAAATTTACTTACAAAATGCACAAGTCCCACAATAGCGGGAAACATCAGCATTATCAATCTCCAGTAAATGTCTAAACTACAGGGATTTATAAACAGGATTTTTGTTTTGAGCCATACCTCAGCAAGTTACCTATGGATTTAGCTTTAATTCTCTTTAAAATTTAGAAGTATGAAATCACAAAACTTCCCTATTGAAAAAGGAAGGTTTGATGATTCCAAGAGAACGTAGAACTTGTAACCTATGTACCAGTAATTCTTTAGGCGACGAATTCCATTATCTTTTTGAATGTTCACATTTAGTTAATACAAGAAAGCTGTATCTTGATAAATATTTCTATGAACGTCCAAGTGCTTTAAATTTGAAAAATTAATGAACCATAGTAATAAAGACTATCCTTTTGAAAACTTGCCATATTTTGCAAAAATATTATGTTATTTTTAAATAATGTTAGCTTATTAGATTTTTGTCTTTTCTCTTTGTTTTTTCTCGCAATGATTTTTGATTTTTCTCTCTCATCCTCCATTACCAGTCAACTCCGTTCAATTATTACTGTAATTTTATTACATCATGGAGTTGTATGACCATTTATAATTTGCCATTTTGTAGTATTTTGTTTTTACATATTATTTGCCATTTTGTATTATTTTGTATGTATGTACTGTTTTATGTTGTCACATGCCCATATGGGCCCTGACGTATTCAAATAAACCTATATACCTAACCTAACCTACGCGGTGATCTCCCCTTATAAGAAAGCTGTACCTTGATAAATATTTCTATGAACGTCCAAGTGCTTTAAAATTTGAAAAATTAATGAACCATAGTAATAAGGATATCCTTTTGAAACTTGCCATATTTTGCAAAAATATTATGTTATTATTCAAATAATGTTAGCTTGTTAGACTTATAAATGTCTTTTCTCTTTGGTTTTTTCTCGCAATGATTTTTGATTTTTCTCTCTCATCCTCCATTACCAGTCAACTCCGTTCAATTATTACTGTAATTTTATTACATCATGGAGTTGTATGACCATTTATAATTTGCCATTTTGTAGTATTTTGTTTTTACATATTATTTGCCATTTTGTATTATTTTGTATGTATGTACTGTTTTATGTTGTCACATGCCCATATGGGCCCTGACTTATTCAAATAAACCTTGAAAACCCACGCAGTGATCTCCCCTTACAGGATAAGTGGCCATCACGGAGTTTGCAGCAGACTAGCCTGGGTTCCAGTCTGTCGATTTTTTGTTATGTTTTCTGTTTGGCAAATCGACAAAACGACGAACGAATACGGAATAGCGCATATGTTATGAATAAAAAAATGTTTTAAATAAGCAAAAAATATCAACGCCTGAATCCCAGGCTACAAATGACTGTCTACACACAGGAATATATTCGTAATTACCTTTGTAAATAAATAAAGCGAAACGTCGTCAAAGTTAAAAACTAATATTTAAACTTAACATAGCAGCTCTACATATAATGAAGTATTGATGTCTTTTTCAACATTTTTTTTCTCTAATTTAACAATTATATTAACTAAAAAGACAATAAAGTGCTGCTATATTTGTTAGGAGGTACACGAAACTGGGTGGGGTTATATGCACAATAAACATATTCACATCTTATAAGATGTCACCAATGCACTTCCTACGTTTTGCAACATAATTATTATCTTCAAATATAATTCAAGTTTGCGAAGCATGCGAGAGGGGTTATCTTTTTTTGCATTTTTTGCAGCTAATGAAGATTTGTTTAAATGTCCAAATGGCGGAAAAGTGAGAACTTCTGATTAGTCGAATTGCATCAGTCTCCATATAAGCTTAAATTAGGAATACTTGGCGAGGTGTTCCGAAGTTAAAGGATCGAGCTGCAAAATTTTGGTAAACGGTTCACTTGGTAATATTAAAGTGCTTAGTGACATTGTTAAGAAATTACTCCCTTTTTTTAAAATCTGTCTAAACCCGTTTTCACTGAAAATGTCTATCATTTAGAATTCTATGCCTGTATAATTAGTAAGAAATCCAAGCGAAAGCATGATAATGAAATCAATTAAAGTAACATTATGTATCATAATTATATTCTAGCAACAGTCTTAAAACAAATTAAATACTTAAACGACAACAACTCAACTCAACAACACCAACATCTCTTCAACTCCAATAACCTCAAAGAACGCGCGACGCACATGTGAAAATCAGTCTACACGACTCCTTGCGCGATCGGAATGTTGCGCGACCTGAATGTTGCGCGATGTGATATTTTAAAGTCTTGACATGCCTTAACAATGTTCAAAATGTCGCTAAAGTAGTTCAGTTATACATGTACAGACTGTTGTGCAATACAAACATAAGTACAAAAATACATAAATATACATATTTTCTCAATAGGATATGCAACTATTTGTTCAACAATGCAACTTAGTGCAACATATTCTTGTATAAAGGAAATGTGTCTGTATGATTGTACTATTTATGGTATACAAGATTAATACACTAAGTTTGGAGAGACCTTTTTTCAACTCTTTAACAGCAGAAAATAAACTGATAAAAAACCCTTTCCAGCTTTACAAAATATAGCCAAGTAATCTTTATAAAGACAGGTCAAGCAATTTTATTCATAAAATCTCATATTTTGTGAAATTAGTACTTGCGTTCAACAACATAAAAAGTCGTAAGATGATTGTAAAAAAATGTTTATTGAAATAGTAGAATGAAAATGTTAAGTTTTATATTAAAACGATTGACATAATAAATATAATAAACAGAATCACTATCGATGGTTATATGAAAATGTTGGTTGCAAGTTTAAAAGGTAAGTAAGGAATGTGTCTTATTTTGCATTGGCTTAGGATATGTTGCCTGCTTTTTAAATTTGTCTTTTGACGTCTTATTTGTGATATGCAGGCATCATAACCTCAGATCCCCTTTCAAAATTCCATTTTATTTAGTTCCGCCCATTGTTTTCTCGTTTAGGGCAAAAGCATTCTTTTACTTGGGGACCATACGCCGCTTTTCATGGAATGGCACTACTGTGTCACATTGAAGGTTCCATGATAACCGCCGTATGAAAACATCTGCGGATGTTTCTAAATTCAAAATTTCACCATTTTCGTGTTAAATGTTGAATTCTGCTTAAGCCGGTGCTAGGGGGCGTGGACGGTAACTTGCACTTTCCAGTACCGTCCATGAACAGGCTCAATCAAACCGAGCCTGCAACATTTTCAATTTTGTTGTGTTGGACTTTCTTTAGGAACAGAACAGAACAGAACAGATACTTTATTAAGATTTGTACATTGTACATCATCTATAATACAATAATATTTACAAGCATAACGTCAATATAATGGTAATAGCAAGTATGACATTTTCAAAATTCTTAATCTTAATTTATCTAGTAACAAGAAAATGAAATAATAAATATGTATACTACAAATTAAAAAAGTAAAGACATACAAACAGGAGAATGAGCAATAATGATGTTTAACGCTCAACATTTAACAATGTGTTTCTCAAAGCAAGTGCTTCTTTAACAAATTTGGATAACTGAATTAATTCATATTTACTATTTGAGTTCAATAATTGTAAAAATTTATAAACTGATGGATTTCTGGTATATTTAATTTTCAAATATTTTTTTCTTAACTCTGCATAACAACGACATATACAAACAAAATGAAATTCATCTTCAATGTCTGAGGCATTACAACATAAACAATACCTTTCTTCTCTAACAATTCTATTTCTAGAATATCTGCCAGTTTGTATTAACGTCAATATAATGGTAATAGCAAGTATGACATTTTCAAAATTCTTAATCTTAATTTATCTAGTAACAAGAAAATGAAATAATAAATATGTATACTACAAATTAAAAAAGTAAAGACATACAAACAGGAGAATGAGCAATAATGATGTTAAAAACCTCAATGGAAATTACAAGACTTGTCTCTGAAGAACATTATCAACAATTACAAGAGTCAAAGCCAAAAATGATTGAACTTGAAAATGAACTTAGATCTAAACTAAACAACAATGGTGAAATGAATAGAATTTCACAAGAAATATTCAACAAAACAGAATTAAAGAAGAACACTATTGTTGCAAATCAAAATAAGAAAATTAAGCAGCTGACTGACAAAAGAGACTGTTACATTATTGAAGAATCTGCACAAATTTCTACATCAAATCGCAATGATGAGAAAAGAAAAAGACAAATTTCCAAGAATCAAAACAAAAACCAAAAAAGAGAGCAAAGAACAAATTATGAACATTCAAATAAAAATGCCAAAGAAGAGGTAAATGATAGAGACAACATTAAACCATTGGCACAAACAAATAACAAAAATGCAAAGCCAAAATCAATGCCATCGAATGTTTCAAAAAACGAGATATCCCCAGGCAGCATGAAGATGAAATACAGCGAAGCCGTGACAATGGGGAAACAACAATACAAGAAAATTCATGTACCACAAGAGAGCAACATACAACACCAGAATGGAAAAAACACATTACACCTAGAGAAAACTATTCAGGAACTGATCAAATGCCTACAGAATCTAAAAAGAACAGACGATTCATTCGAATCACAAACAAGAGAAAATGGAAGAAAAACAAGAAAATAAAGAAAGACATAGAAAGGGGTAAGAACACTATAATAAATCTTTCTAATAAACAGCTCAATAACACTGAATATCGATTACTTGGTAAAGGTTTAAAATTCTGCCCAACACCAAAACCCCATAATAGAATTCAACTTAAACAAGATGTTTTTGAATTTACAAGAAAACTCAGATTGAATGAATATTTTGCAGCAAAAGAGGAAAATAGTGAGGGAAATGAAAACAATAGTACCAATAATTATGACATTAACAGTAAGAAGAAAAACAACTCTACTTTTATTCCCCCTTCTGGCAGAGATTCCAATCTTGATTTTTATATTGAAGCAATAACAAATGAAGAGTTAAAAGCCTTGCAAAGCCTACAAAAAGATGAAAATATCATTATAAAAAAAGCTGATAAAAGTTCGGTTATTGTTGTTATGAACCGTACTGACTACATTAGAGAAGTTCACCGACAGCTTGAAAACGACCAATATTATAAGAAACTTGAAAATAATCCAACTGAACAATTTAAAAAAGAAATCTATGAGGAAATTTATCAAATGGATAATATAAGTTACTCTATTAAAGAATCTTTGGTTCCTGATAGTGACAATAGAGTTCCAGCTTTTTATATTTTACCTAAAATCCATAAACAATTCAATTCTGATCTACCACTCGGTTACCCTGGAAGACCAATAGTATCTGGATGCGGTTCATTAACTGAAAAGATATCATCGTATGTCGATAATATACTCAAACCACACATGGAATCATTACCCTCATATGTCAAGGATACTACAGATTTTATCAGAAAAATACAAAACATAACAAATATTTCAACAGAATCATTTTTAGTAACAATGGATGTATCATCTTTATATAGTAATATACCGCATAATGATGGAATAAAAGCATGTCAGTATTACCTTAATCAGAGAACAGGACAACAACATTCAGTTAAAGACATTTTACATCTTATTGAAATAGTGCTTACAAAAAACAACTTCCAGTTTGGTGATGATAACTATATACAAAATTTAGGAACAGCTATGGGAACTAAAATGGCACCATCTTATGCTTCATTATTTATGGGAAAATTTGAAATGGACTTTTTAAATACATGTGAAAGAAAACCCTCAATATGGCTGCGATTTCTTGATGATATTTTTTTCATTTGGGACCACAGTGAAGAGGAGCTTATTACATTTTTTTACTGAAATTAACAACTATCACAACACTATTAAATTTACTTATAACTACTCAAAAACAAATGCAACATTTCTAGACGTAAATTTGGAAAAGAAAGATAACTGTGAAATTGAAACTAGTGTCCATGAAAAAATAACAAATGCCCATCAATATATTGAATTTTCTTCATGCCATCCTTTGTCATGTAAAAAAGGTATTCCATTTAGCCAGGCTAAACGATACAGACGAATTACATCAAATAACAACATATATGAAAAAGACTGTGACAAACTACGAGGTTATTTCCGTGCCAGAAACTATCCAGAAAATATCATTACAGACACAATTACCAGAGCATCAACTTTATCGAGGGAGGATACATTAAAATTAAAAGACAAATCAGAAGAACGTGAAAATATTATCCCCTTTGTGTGTACATATAATCCATCTTTACCTAATATAGGTAAAATAATTAACCAATATTGGAACCTATTGAAATTTTCTCCAAATGAAAGTGTACGTAAATTATACAAATACAAACCAATTGTTGCTTATAAGAGACCGAGAAATTTACAAGACAATTTAGTTCATACTCATTTAAATGCCAAACTCATGGTTGGTTCAGTATCTAAATGCTGTCGACCTCGTTGTACTCATTGTAATAATATTGTTGAAACTAATAATTTTTCAAGTACTACTATACCTAAAGAATTTGCTATAAAACGTGATTTTTCATGTATATCTTCAGATGTCATTTATCTTATAACTTGTAAAAAATGTAAAAAACAGTATGTTGGTCAAACTCAGCAAAAATGTAGTCAAAGAATGAATAGCCACAAATTTGATATTAAACACTTTCCTGACACTATTACCAATGTATCTGAACATTTTAATTCTGAAGGGCATTCTATCAAAGATTTTTCATTTATGCCAATTGATAAAGTAAAGAATAATTGGCAAAGATTATTAAAAGAAACTTCATGGATGTATAAGCTAGGTACAATTATTCCTGATGGCATGAATTCCAAAATTCTTTATTAATTTTGTAGATTATAATTCTTCATTTTAATATATATATATTTTTTTTTTTTTTTTATATATATAAAAAATTGTATTTTCTAATTTTTGCTTAATATGTCTTAAAACTAATTTCATGCCAATATGTAGTTTATGCGGGTTTTCTTATTTTACATTGCTTTTTACTGCATCTCCACCAGTGTTTTGTATCTTTTATAAAGATCCTACATATAGCATTAATACGCCAAATTATGTATTACATTTTGACGTTGTTGTCCTTGACGTCATATGACGTTGACGTCATTTCCTGTAAACAAAGTATACCTGATGAAGACTTTTGAGTCGAAACGTTGTATATTTTTCAAATAAAATAATTACATTTTTAAATTGAAACTGGAGTTGATTTCTATATTCAAACTTATACAAAGACAAAGTACTCATTCTTAATCTACAGAAATAAAATCTAAAACATCTTGGCAAGATATCCAAATAAAGTTCATACTCAAAACTACATTTAACATTTTTGTACATATACAATACAGAACTATTATCTAAGGTAGCATACCATTCCTGTTTAAAAGAATCAATAACGCGACTTCTAAATTCAAATAAAAATATTTTTTTGTCAATAATATTAACATTATCAAAAACATATGAAAATCCATAATCATTTAAAAGCTTTTTTACATTTGAAACCCAGTTTTTATGACCATTGTTGCTATCATACAAAGCTTGATTATATACTGTCTTAAGGATTATGTTATCAGTTTCTACAATTTTTAACCAGTATTTTATTATCCTTACAAACCTATGAATATATAAGGGATATCTTCCCAGCTCGCCGTATACACTAGCATTACAGGTGTTAGGTTGAACTCTTAATAACCTTTTACAAAATTTTAAATGTATTCTTTCTAGCTCTTTAGACTTAGTATATCCCCAGATTTCACATGAATAATTTAATATCGATGAAACAAATGCGTCAAATAACTGACATAATGTTCTGGGAGAAAGGTCAAATTCTTTCAATTTACAAAGAAGTACATTCATTGCCTTCAAAGCTTTACCACTCAGATATTCCTGATTTAATGTAAAATTGCCCGTATAATTAAAAACTGTCCCAAGATAATTAAAATCATTAACTACTTCAATATTTAGGGATTCTTTTTTTCTCTATTCTATTGTATTAGAAAACTGCTGTTTTTTGTTTGTTTGATTGATTGGGTTTTACGTCACACCGACACAGTATTGGTCATATGGTTACTGGTGGAGAAAGACCTCAGGTGCCCTTCCGTGCTTTATTTCGGGCACGAACGGGCACCTAAGTAGAACAACTGATGTTCCGTCAGCTAGCTGGATAGCTTTATCAAAAAAGAAAAAAAAAACAACAGAAAAAAACCTGTTTTTAAAAAAATTTCTTCTTAATGAAATATAATACACAAAGCTTTTATATCGCATTGTGGTCCCCTACAAAAGTAATATAAATCATGCCCTTTGTCAAAATTGGCCGTGCTTTGTAAGTTTCACACCAGCGGATATTTCTAAATTCAATATTTCATCATTTTCGTGTAAGCCGATGCTTGGGGGCGTTGACGGTACTTGCACTTTCCAGTACCGTCCATGAACAGGCTCTATCAAACCGAGCCTGCAACATTTTCAATTTTGTATTAGGTTTTCTTTAGGGATTCTGCTTTTCTATATTTTAAGTAATAAGTAATAGTATTCTTTTGTGTAACTACAATGCCAAGAGTTTAAATGTAGCGTTGCCTAGTAGACATCTACAAAGTTGTATAAATCATAATCCCGTCCAACTTGTGGATAACTTATTTTGCGTAGACTTGTATAGTAAAATGTATATAAAAATATGATAATAATAATTCTAAATTATACAAATATATTAAATATAGAAATATATTTATAAAATCTTAGAACTTTGAAAAAGAAATCTAATTTAATTGTAAAGTAACAACCAAAGAGCTTCACAACCGGCAAATCGTTTTGGATACCTTGACACTTCTCAGTCTAGGTGGATCATCAACTATCACTTCTTTCATATTTTGCTATATACTATAACTACTTCCTTTCTCAAATATCTATTTCAAACTTCCGATGTTTCTGTCTCATTATCATCTACATCACGTTTTATAAGATTCATAACTCTAGTCTGAATATTTCCAGAATTATTTCCCTATAAACTTGGATTTCTTTTCAATAATAATTGTTATTTTTTGCCCTTACTTCTTTACTTTTCAAAAGATCAACTTAAAATTTTATTAAAACTCTAATACGATAATTGATAATGGTATGACAATGTTCTTAACTCTAGCATCTATATATTTTCCGAATTATTTTTCCGTTAAAATTAGTAATTTCTTCCTTTTTTCTAGACAGTAATTTCTTTATTTTATCAGGGTTTCAATTCAGACTTTAAAACAATATGTTTCTTATCAACATCTTTGTCATATGTGATAATATTTATAACTTTAGCTCCTGTTTTTCATGAATAATTAATCTTATTCTAGCATCATTTAATTTTTGAGCTCATTGAATTTATTTGAAAATTGTTATATTTTTGTTCTTCATGGTATCTACTCTGGACTTAAGATAATTGCTAATTTTTCGGTCGAAGGCCCTCTAATTTCACCTTGACTTCCGCTAAAATTAACAGTAAAGAAATCAATATATTGCATTGGTCATTTTAACACTAAAAGCCTGTTCGATTGATAATTTAGTAGATCTTCCCGTTATAGGTAGAGGGTCTGTTCGATAGCGCGATGGAAAAGATATAAGTCAGAATGAATATACAAAACACAATAATGATATTTTCTAGATGTTTCTTACAGCTTTTCAATAAATATATGAACTCAAATATGACAGATCGCCATTTTGATACTTTTGCATTCGATTGGGTTTCTCTTCTAAGCTGTTCTAGTCATTATATTCTCTTCTTTGTTTTATTATAAATTCCTATTCAAATCACATTCCATTTTGATTAAAAGCAAATAATGTAAATAATTTTGTTTAAATCTAAGATGATCATTAATGGGGAAAAATATTGCGGGTAAGAATGAACTGAAATAAAACTATTGAGAATAAAATGTTCTGTTTGCGGTAAGCATGGCTAGCAGTAGGTTATCCTATGCAAATTAACATGTTTGACTTCGGCCGAGCACTTTTTTAAGATACTTCTTGTTATTACTCACATCATGCATGACAAGGTTCATAACTCTAGCATCCTTATTTCAAAAGTACTCATAATTTTACTTTTAAAGCTGTTTTTAACCAAATTTCTTGGACATTGGCCAAAAAGCTTCTTAAGGTGATTTCTAGCTCAAGTACGAATATTGGTTAATTGGGGTTAAAAAGTAGGTCATACAGAGCAAATATGGAAAAGCCTAGTGAACATTTTAGAGGCTACTGTTTTGGTCCAGATATCCTAGAAATTATTCAGAAAGGTTGTTTCGATGTTTTCTGGCTAAAGTTGAATTAATAGGCATATAAAATAGGTTATACAGCCCAAAAATTGGAAAATCAGGTTAATATTTTAGAGGCTAATGTTGTGGTCTAAATTTCCTTGAAATTAGTCAGAAAAGTCTTTTAGGTCATCTAGGGTCACAAACTAAGTCACAAATTCTAATTCGATAGATTAAAGCAGCACACCTCTAGATTTAAGCTAATATCCATGAAAAATTTTGAAATGTTTTTAAAAATAAAATATTGTGAAGTGACCAAAAGGAAACAATTTACACATTATCAATGGCACTTGCAACCCACGAAATTAACCAAAAAGAGGTAAAAATATGCAAAATAGCCCTTGCTGCATTAGTAACGCAGTAGAAATATAGTTATAAATACAGAAGAATCAGTCATTAATCGCACATAACATGTAAATTATTAATTTAATATTGAATTTTTTTACCTTATTAAAATCTTAAAAATCTTAGAACACTTTTCTCAAGTTTGATTTTATTAAAATATCTTGGCTCATGTGGAGGCATGTAGCTTTAACATATTTTAACCTACGAGAGGTAACATATTCAGCCCAAATATCCTGGTTGTTTGTCAGAAAAATGTTTTGATGATTTTTAAATATTGGTAATTTTCTGTGAAAAAACTAGGCAAGTCAGAATATTGAAAAACCTTGTTGATACTCTTGAGGTAACATTTTCAGCAAAATATCCTGAGTTTGTGTTGATGATTTTAGCTCCAGTTAAATATGGATCAACTTGGGTAAATAATTAGGTCATAGAGTCTAAATCTGGTATAGAATATGTGAATTGTGTAAAATCATGGAAATCTTCTCAGCTCATATTAATTCCGAATGAAAGACCTTATGTTCTCCAACACGATAAAGGTTTACAAATGTGTTGAACATTTTTTCCTCCACCCACAATGACCACAATTAGGGATGGTTTGAATTGTCGTTGCTAAAGTAGTTATGATTAATATTTGTTGCTTTTTATTATTATTAATATTATTATAATTATTATAATTATTATTATTATTATTATTATTATACCCCACCACAAAATGTGTGTGTGTGGGGGGGGGGGCTATAATGGATTCGCTTTGTCGCGTCGGTTGGTCAGTCCGTCCGTCAGTCACCAAAATCGTGTCCGCTCTATAAATCCTATACCGATTAAAGGATTTTCTTCAAACTTGGCTCAAATGTTCACCTCAACAAGGAGATGTGCAGAATCCATGTTGCCCATGTGTCAGCTCAATGTCAAGGTCACAATTGAAGGTCAAATTTCAAACAATCAAATATTAGACAGTATGTCATGTGCGCTCTGTAAGTCCTACATTAATTGAAAGATTTTCTTTAATCTTGGCTCAAATGTTCACCTCAACAAGATAATGTGCAGAACCCATGTTGCCCTTTTGCCCGGTTAAGGTCAAGGTCACACTCGAAGGTCAAAAATTGACTTAGAAAATATTTTTGAATTTTAACATGTATTTGAATATTTCTGAAACTAGAAAAGGTATATATATATATGGTGTGTCACAATTAAGATATGCAGGTCAAGTTTCATCACTCTGTATTGCATTTTTACAAAATTATGCCCTTTTTAAGTCTACAAATTTACAAACAATCAAATATTAGACAATAAGTCGTGTCCACTCTATAAATCCTATACTAATGGAAGAATTTTCTTCAAACTTTACTCAAATGTTCACCTCAACAAGGATATGTACAGAACCTATGTTACCTTTGCGCCGGCTTAAGGTCAAGGTCACACTTGAAGGTCAAAAATTGACTTAAATTGAAAATGTTCTTAAATTTTAACATGTACTTGAATATTTCTGAAACTAGCACAGGTATTTATCACAATATCTATACTTTTAAAGAACTAACCTAAATATTTCAGCCACAAATGGACATTTATTTTCCCATTTATTTCAACTTTAAAATATAAAGATATTATAAACTTACCAGTAATACATGTAAATATTTCATTAGACACTGTATACTTACCACTAATAAATATTTCATAGAAATTTACATTTACTTTAATAGCTCTGAAACCAGAAAAATATTCACTTGAAACTATACAATATATGAAGGGTCACAAGAACACTCAGTAGGCAAAGTTTTTCCACTCTTAATTACATTTTGACATAATTATGCCATTTTCTTAACTTCACTGCTTTTGTTTGTTTTAGTACATTGGGAAAATGAAAGGTTATTTGTTACTGTTTCGAACATGATTTGACAATATATACTTATACTTTTACCTGTACAATTTGTCTTTTTTTCACCAGAAATAATTTCTTTTTATGTATATGTATTTGTTCCACTAAAGGTATTCCATTAACCACCTTTCCAAGTCGTCTTCTGGCAAGGACATTGGTTTAGGTATGAATCGCATTCAGCGATAGTTTTATTATTATGTGAAATATTAGAAAGAAATAGAATCCCTGAAGAAAGTCCAAAAAGGCAAAATTAAAATTGAAACTATTGCAGGCTTGATTTGATTGAAACTGTTCATGGACAATACTGGAACCACAGTTAAACCGCAAGTTGACCTTTGTCCGTTGCGCAACTTGTCTGAATATTTCTTGTCCGTTAATGTATCATTCTATTCTTGAAATATTTCTGGAAACATTTAAATAATAATTATCAACTTCACAAATTTCTTATCTCCAACGTTTCGAGGAGATAAACCTCTCTTTTTCAAGCAGTTTCTGTTTATTTTATCAATCACACTTTTTCATCTTGTCTTACAATATGTTTAAAAAAGAGTCTCAATTGTTTGTGCTATCCTTGGTTTTGGTGCGCATGTCATAGGCTATTTATTCTCATGTATGTCATATAATTGTACCTTAGATTTTTTTAAAAGTCTGTGCATATGTATCCATAAAATGAAATCTCATCTTTTAGTTTTGATAAAGAGGGGTTTATCCCCTCGAAACGTTGGAGGTTAAAACTTTGTGAAGTTGATAATTATTCTTGAAATATTGTTGAAATACTGGAAGAGATACAGAACACCACTCAAGGGGGACAACCATAACAGCCCTAATCTACAACCATTCGGATCGATACTGGCACGTCAAATGTCACAATGTTACAGTTTCCACAATTGATTGTTAAAGTAAAGTTAAGCAGCACGCCTCCAGATTTTTCCTAATTTTCATGAAAATTTTAAAAATGAATTTAAACGTAAAATATTGTGAAATGAACAAAGAAAGTACTTGACACATTATAATCGGCACTTAAAATCCACGTAAATTACCAAAAAGAGGTCATGATATGCATAAATAGCCCCTACTGCGTTAGTAACGCAGTAGAAGTATGGTGATAAATACTACAAAATACAAAATTAATTGCACATAAGATATAAATTATCACTTAAATTTTTAATTCGTTTACTTTTCTCAAAGTTTTCCAGGTTTAATTTTCTTGAAATATTTTGGGTCATCTGGAGGCATGCAGCTTTAAGGCTAGCAGTCTTATTTACAGAAAGGCAACACTAGTTAATCTGCTCATTTCCATGGAAGACTTATGCAGCTACTTACTGTTCGCCAAAGTTTGTCTGCCGATGAAATCGCTCTATTTTGTTTAAATTTTTTTGTTTAAAGTATTTTCTGTACAGTGCTGTAACTCAACTGTATGTATTAAATTTAGACGTTAAATAGTAATTTTACATAGTACACTCGATTTGAATAGGCGGGGCTAACTTTAAGTCGGTTATAGGTTATACACAGAGTTTTAAGAAACTAATTTTCTCGCTTCACTTCGTTTGATCGAAAATTAATTTATTAAAACTCTGTATATAACCAATAACCTATACATAAATCATAATACAGTTTCAATACTGTAAGGAAAGATTCAAATACCACTTGTCCGACAGACATTTCCGACACTACTTGAGACATACTTTATTTGAGATAGAAATGCAAGTTTAGATATTAAATTAGATTTTATGTCAGTATGTATTACATATGCATGGACATTTAAGAACAACATCTACGGTACAATTATATAACATACATGAGAATAAATAAGCCCTGACATGCGCACCAACACAAAAGATAACACAAACAATAGAGACCCTTATTTCCATTCTTGTCCCTTACTTCATTTGTTTCATGCTATAAAACTTCTAGTATTAAAATATTCTTTAAAGAATACTTCGCTAGTGTTCGTTTGATTGAATGCGTATGTTGAAGCACTATTAAATGCAATAGATCTTTTTTATGGTACAAAAGCCGAAAAATCATATCAAGAAGTTGTTAAGAGTTTACGTCTCACAAACTTTGTTATTGTAGCACACCAGACCACACTTAACCGGATACACTACAAGTTATTGTTAATAGCAAGATTTTGCCTTTTAATAAAACTGGTTACGAAAAGTAGGCCAATCTCAAATCTGCCTTTAAACGGGAAGATATAATCATTACATTTTTTAAAGTCTAACAGTAACTTACAAACATACAATTGTGATGAATAATTTAAATCAATGAGAAGCTAAAATAGATAAATGGTAATCAATATGATGGGTATGGTTATTATAGTACGGATGAGTTAAAATAGCAACACCGGTAAATAAAAGACTCGGACTGAATGGAATATAATGCTATGCATTAAAAAGTGTTTATTTTTTTAATTACGTTAAAAACGTTCAGTTTTACTTAAGTTTAACGTCCAGTGATATAATTCATGTTATTAAAAATTTGACTTTATTAACAACCTGTGACTATTAACCAATCAAATATTATATTTATATTAATATTTACGCGTTTTGTGACTAAGTCGTTGGATCTTCCTTTAGTTGCCCTTAAATGTTTTAATGTCTGTTTATTCAAACATGTTTCGGAATTAGCTGGTACTTGTTTCAAAGGTATAATTGTATTTGAGCTTATTTTGCCTTTTCCAAAACATATTATTCATATTCTTTCTTTACATATAATAATTGTATTATAAAAACTTTAACCAAAAGCTGTTCCATCATGTAAAGGGCGATAACTTGAATGTATACTAGCGCCGTTTATCAAGCGCCTTTATACAGTGATCATCCACCATTAAACGTGTTTTCTTGAATACAATGGTAAGCTTTCTTATTTGCAGTGGTAATAGGTCATGAAATGACCTTTATATTACATATTCAGTTTTTCATGTACTTCATATTCTAATTGTTGCATGTATATTCCATTTGTTTTAGATTAAGCGCCTTAGTTTACTGATGAAAGTTGACAGACATTTTTAAATGCTCTGAACGCAATCTCCATTGCATCACTTCCACGTTCAAATAAGGTTTTCATATAATGAAAAGCACATCTTCATAGCAATTGAATAATTAATCTATTTCAAGAAAGTAAATATGCAAATTGAGCGGTTTATTTTATAGAAATGGGGTGAATGTTTAGTTCAATGCATGAATAAACATAAAATATTTCAGTTGTAAATTGGGTAAGGTTTGACAGCTACGTTTGACCAAATTATATCAGTATCAGTGATTTGTGAGAGACAAAATATAAGATACAAGTGTTTGCCTTTTATATGATTATCAAAAGATAATATTGTTGACTAAAAGTATAATGAACTACACTAGTAAAAAGCTGAATATGAAGAACAGAAGAAAATTGGCACGCTTCATTTCATGCCAGGTCAATCTGTTGACAATGTCATTAATTCAATGATCAATCTATTTTTACATCATGTGACAATCATAAAGCTTATCGCACATTCTGATTATTGTTTAGAATATCAAAGGGGTAATTGAGCCTTTTGATAATGAATAATCAGCTTGATTTAGTCTTAGTATTATAATGATAATAGTGACATGAAATGATAAAACACATTCAAATTTGTGACCAGAAGTATGTGAAGAGGTTAATTAGTTTGTTGTTGACTGATCTTCAGGGAAAACATTATAACCATAATAAATATGGTCTACAGCACTTCAGTTGGGACAGACAATTGAAGGCCAATTAAGAAGTGAAGAACATGTTGAAGAAATAATTATAGGATATATATATTACAAAGTGAGCCAGCCGACCTGGGAAACAATGACATAAATACTTTTGAGCTCAATTAATTAGCTGACTGGGAACATAATGACTACACTTGGTATATCCTATTATTTATCGACCAGTTTACTAGTAAAATGATTTTATTACTGCAAACCAGTTAAACTGAACAATGTTTTCTTTGTGAAAGATCTAAAATGTTGACCAAGGAAACGGTCACATGATTATGTTTGTGCTTATTCAACTTGCTGAAATCTGCTGACCAAGAAAGTAATGATACATGTTAATGTGTGCCAATTCAATATGCTAAAATCAGAATCATTCTTCAGAATTTATTTTGTAATAAATCAGTCTGCAAATGAGGGAAATAATGTTATGATTTTTGTGCAACACTTTTCGGCTGACCATTACAATACTGACCCAATTTACATTGTAAATGTTGATTAATCTGTTAATTAGAAAAATATCTGTTATACTTTTTAAGATCAACTAATGAAACAGACTAATAATAAAATGATTAATTTTGTATAAGACAAATATGTTGACAGGGAACCTGATGAGTGGTCATTTTAGTTTTGTCATATAAAACTATATGATCATAAAACTGATAACAATATTGTTCATGTGCTTGACCAATCTACTAAAAAGGAAATTTATCACAGTTATTTTGTCCTACAACAATCAACTGGTCATGAAAATTGTGTCATGACTCCTTGTACTAGAACGATCAGCTGTTCAAAAAGATAATGACTTAGATATTTTGTTCTACAACACAACAAAGAAAACACAACTTGACTTACTTTTTTTTGCTAGCCCACTCTGTTGACCAGAAATACACAACTCGACTTACATTTTTGCTAGACCAATCTGCTGACCAGGAATACACAACTCCACTTACATTTTTTGCTAGAACAATCTGTTGACCAGAAAACACAACTCGGCTTACTTTTTTGCTAGACCAATCTGCTGACCAGGAATACACAACTCCACTAACATTTTTTGCTAGAACTATCTGATGACCAGAAAAACCCAACTCGACTTACACTTTTTGATAGGCTAATCTGCTGAACAGGAAGGAACACAACTCGATTTACTTTTTGCTAAACCAATTTGTTGACCAGAACAACATAACAAAACTTACATTTTGCTAGTCTTCTCTGCTGACCAGATAAACACAACTTGACTTGTGCAGGATAATAATAAATTAAGTGAGCTCTTAACTTATATTCCAAATAGGAAAGAATACCGAATTGGCTTGATGTATGCTAGACCAATCAGCTGATCAGGAAAATAAAGATTCGGCTTTACTTGCGCTCCACCAGCTTTCGGATTAAACTTGATGACATGCCTTATGTGTTAGACTAAACTGATTATAAGTAAAAAGTGACATGTAATTTGTGTTTGATGCATGTGCTTTTAAGACAAATAGGAAAATAGTATTAAAGATGGATGTATGGCCATAAACATAATGGCATGACTTTCTTTGTGATATATCAAGCAAGTGACAAAATAAGTTTTGGCATGGTCTGTTTCTCAATCTACTGACCAGGATATAATTAACGTCATTGTTTGATTCAAGCAAACCTTAATTTCTGACCAGGAATTCAAAAGAGAAATTGACGACAAAGATATCTGGTGCTAGACCAATTATTTTGGGCTAGACTAATATGTTGGCCGTGAAATTCGGGACATTTATATTTTGTGCTAAAACCAAACTGCTGGCCAGGAAATTAATGACATGTATAAATTGTGCTAGACCAATCTACTGACCATGAAATTGATGCTAAGGTTATTTTGTGGTAAAAAACAATTATTTTGTACTAGACCAAGCTGCTGACAAAGTAACTGATGACATGGATATTTTGTGCTAGACTTCACTGCTGACAATTGAATTTAGGACATGTTTATTTTTGTGCTAGATAATCTGCTAACAATGAAGATGATGACATCTTGATTTTGTGCTAGATGAATCTGCTGACCATGAAATAGTAGATATTATATATTGTACTAAACCAATCTGCTGACAATACAATTGATGACATGGATATATTTTGTGCTTGATAAATCTGATGTCCATGGAATTGATGACATTTATATTTTGTGCTAGACCAATCTGCTGACCATGAAATAGAACACATGTATATTTTGAGCTAAACCAATATGCTGAAAATAAAATTGATGAAATGGATATTCTGTGCTAGAGCAAGCTGCTGACCATTAAATTGTGGACCTGTATATCTTTTACTAGATCAATCTGATTACCATGAAATAAAAGACATGTATATTTTATGCTAGACCAGTCTGCTGACCATGAAATTGCTGTCATTGATTTTTTGTGCTAGATCAATTTGCTGACCATAAATTAGAAGACATGTATATTTTGGGCTAGATAAATCTGGTGGCCATGAAATAGAAGACATGTATATTTTGGGCTAGATCAATCTGCTGACCATTAAACAGAAGACATGTATTTTTAAGCTGGATCAATCTGCTGACCATGAAATTGATGACATGTTTATTTTGTGCTCAACCTATCCGCCGACAAGGAAATTGATGACATGGTATTCTTTTTGGTAGACCACTGATTGTCATTGATGAAATTGATGTCATGTATATTTCTTTGCTAGAATATTCTGCTGAAAATGAAACGGAAGATATGGATATTTTGTGCTAGACCGATATGCTGACCATGCAATAGAACACATTTACAAATGTATATTGTGAGTTAGATCACTCTGCTGACCATGAAATAGAAGAGCTAGACCAAACTACTGAAAATGAAATTGATGACATGGATATTGAGCCTCCAGAATCATCCTTATTTTCATGAAAATTTTGAAAATGTGTTTAACAGTATTATTTATTGAAATAACCAAAAGGAAGTAATTTACACATTATCAATGGCACTTGCAACCCACGTAAATTACAAAAAAGAGGACAAAATATACAAAAATAGCCCTTACTGCGTTAGTAACGCAGTAGAAATATTGTTATCAATGGTGAAAAGTCAGTCATTAATCGCACATAACATGTAAATTAATACTTTATTCTTGAATATTTTTATTTTTCCTTAAATCTTAGTACATTTTTCTCAAGTTTGATTTTATTGAAATATTTTCGCTCATCTGGAGGCGTGCAACTTTAATCTGCTGACCATGAATTAGAAGACATGTATATTTTGTGCTAAACCAATCTGCTGACCATTAAGTTGAGGACATACTTATTTTGTGGTAGACTAATCTGCTGACCTTGAAATTGATGAAATGTATATTTTTTGTTAGGTCTACTTGCTGACAATGAATTTGAGGACATGTACATTTGTACCAGACCACTTTGTAAATTTTAGGATAGATAAGAGTCATGTCAAATCTTTGTCCACTTAAATTATATCAAGATTAATAATTTCAGCTTGTCTCGTCAAATTATATACAAGTATCTTAATACATGTATATGCGTTTTATTACATGCGTTATGCATTCAACTTGGTGAACTTGAAAATCTTTTCTGATTAATTTCTTAATGAGAGTTCAAATTCCGCCAAAGGCTTTGCTCCCTAGCTGTGCCAGTCATATCCGGTCATATAACTGCTTTTACGTAAAATATTACACGGACGAGCCTCTGAGGTTGTCATTCACTAAAAAAATATGAAACTTAACACTGTCGATGTGACCATAAATCTTATCTGCACATATTTGAGAGTTGTTGAAGCCGGTAGTAAATTGCTTTACGCGCGCGATCATGTAATTTGATAACTTGTAGCATTTTTTGTTTTCTTTATTTGAAAAAACAAACGCACCAAAGGCTGATCAAATATGTATGAAACTCAACCTTCATTTTTGCTTCGATTGTTTGCCTAAAACATGAATAAAGGTCTACCGTTAAATATCCGTCGCATTTATTTTTGTTAAAGAATAACATTGGTAACACTAGATATAAACCTCTGTACAACAACCTCCGTACAACAATTAAAGTTACGTATGGTATGCTTAATAAAGAAAACGCTTTTAAAATAGTATCACATACCGTTTATTCGTGTATTTTGAAATTTTAATCATGTCATTATGTTGTATCCTTTTAGTTTCGATTATTGCATTAGAAATGTTTATTACTTATCAAACTTTTATGGCAAGATACTAAGAATAACGCTAAACGTCATCTTCTGTAATCTCTGCAATTTACTATATATCAGTATTATGTGTAGAATATAATGTTGAAAATTTCCTTTCAAAATCTGGGATGGATATAATGTCATTATAGTGACAGTATGACGCCAATAAAGAATAATATGCCCGTCTAATAATAATTTAAACAGGGGTTCATTTTGTTTTTATTTTCAGGCATTCCCCGTATATCGTAGTGAAAAGGGAAATTTTGTGACCACTGAAACCTCAAATGGCATATCTATTTCAGAAAGCTGGGATTCGATTTGCAAAAACAAAAGTAGGTTAAAATTATCATTGGTATGGAATAACCGCATTTATGTTTTAGAACACCTTTCGAACACCTTAAGGCGGCGCCTCTCTGTGTTCCTCAGATGTATGTCTTGGTTGTTTCATACCGTTTTGATCACATTTTGTTTGTGTCCCTCCTTGTTTTCTCGTCTACGGTAAGTATCTTCCCTTTTGCCTTTAATGTTTGCCTCTCCCTTTCCCGAATCTCGAGTCCCTTCTCCCTATGCTCTTTTACTTTATGGGCCTATCAATCAATCAATCAATCAATCAATCAATCAATTATTTGTTTTCTTTAATTTCTTTGTCGGTTACTATTATTTCCTTTTTAAATATTATTTATATTATTGTCCTGTCCTCCAGGACTCCTTGCCACTGGCTCTTGTTGCTGGGTTGTTTTGGGGTTGCGTTCATTGTACGCCGCATTTCCTTGCTGATCTTGATTATTATATTTTAACCCATAACCTGCTGAATTTCTTAAATGGACTTCCAATTTCCATTTTGGAGCAGTCCATTATCAATTTCAAGTATATCAAGATGAGAATTTGAAGTTGGCCAGCCAACAGTGTAAAGCCTGGTCAGACTGCATGATTGTGCATGCTGTTCTGGCACTATGCTGGAGGCAAAAACGAATCATTTTCGCCTTTAGCAGAGTTAAGGTTGAATTATCAAAGAATGTAAAAGGGACTCTTTATCATACAGCTAAAAGCACCAGGTAAAGATGTATGAGTTGTTTTTGATTGATTTATTTCAGTATATAATACATATTCATGGACATTTAAAATGTGTTTGGTACAAACATCTAAAACATACACGAGAATAATTAAGCCATGACATGCACACCAGTAACAAGGATAGCACATAAAAGAGACTCTCCTTTCTTTTGTGGTCCCCAGTTTTGGTGGCATGACATAGAGAGCCTTAATCCAGTGCAAATAAAAACTTTCAATTAAATATAATCACAGTTAGATCACAGTTATTTTATCACAGTTAGACTAATATTGTAAACAGAGAAAAAAAAATTGAGTCTGCATCTAGTAAATCATTTGTCAAATAATGAAAAGGGATCCGTAAACATACAAAAAGTGATAATATTGCAGTCTTTATAATATTAAGCTTGCTTCTGTCCACAAGCTACCGCATACGCTCCATCACACTAGTATTTAGGCATGCGACATTCAAAATTCAAAATAATGACATTTATAATCATCTGATTGAAAATAATCTTCACAGATGCTTATCTATTTTTCATAAAATAACCTGTAAATGAAAAGTGAAGAATATGGTTCTCTAAGGTTTAAAACCATGATATTCTGTTTTATATTTTTAGGTTTGGGAGTGTTGAGATATGAGACGGCTAATGTGTTGTCTAAAGATTTGATTGAACAACTTCCTGCCGATGTAATATGCCTAATTTGCCTTCAGAAACTGCGTGCATGTATATTCCTTGAATGTGGACATCTACTTGTATGCCAAGATTGCCAGCATTTCTACACATCTTGTCCTGTTTGCCGCAAAAAAATTAAGTCTTTTGTGCATACCATTTTGGAATTGCCATTTAGATCTTAATCATGACAGTTACGGGCATAGAAACTGAATCTCACGCGCGTAAAACAACGAAGGGTTAAAATTAATGTGGACATTTGTATAATATCAATTTAACAATCTGCTTTTAAAACTTGAGATTTTTTCAGAGGCTGGACAATTCTGCTTTTCTTTCATCGCCATACTTTATTTTATTAAACCTACAGTGCAATAATGTGCTGCAACGTACATATTCATTTTACTTCATGCATAGCTGTGATCTGTTAAGTGTTATCTGCTTTGTTTACATGTTATCATATTTTTTCTCTCATTTGTTATTTATGTCCTCGTTTCATCGTTTCTAATTTCTATCCATTATATAGCTGTAATTGGTTGTTTATAACCTACATGGTAATGTTTTTTGTATCGCAAAACATTATTATACACAAATCAAATAATAATTCTAGTCAATTACCATGAAAAGATGTGAAAAGGTCTCGCAATCAAAAATGTAAATATGAATTGGATATTTTGTAGGGTCAGAATTGCTATATGTTCCTTCAGGATCATTAAGGTGTGCATGATTGAATAACGCTAAAGTCACTCGGTGTTACAGGGTCCGAGAGATGTTGAGATTCCCACCTTCTTTCATTAAAATGTAGTCTGCGAATTTCAACTATTTATCGTTGCATTTCATTGGTATATACGAGTCTTCCTTCTCCAGATTTATTGCTCAAAATAGCAAATGTTGAGTACTGTGTGTAGGATGTTAAAATTGACTCTCCCTTCATAATTGTGTTGTTATATTGTTGATAGTGTTTAGGAATGAATACAATTGAAATCGGTGCTAGAGAACGAGAGAGATGTTGTAATGTCCGTTATTCCTCCTGAACAGTCTAAAAAAACTTGTGATTATTACCTTTTTATATTTTTGTTAATATTTCGGGGATTCTCTTGTCATGAAGAATTTATAACAATATTAAAACACTGTTGAATTTCGTTAGAGAAACGACAAGGAGGAAAATGTGTTGTTCTTGTTGTTAAATTATACATTTAGCCAGTTATAGATTTATTTCTTGAAATAATGCATTTTATTACACAACTTTTATGCTCTCGTTTGAGTGAAATAAGTTTTCTCAAAAACTATGTTTGGAAAGCTGTTTTCCCTACTACGGGTCGAGTAAAGTTGGCCATTTTTTTAAAACAATGCCAGTTTTCTTAAAGGCACTATTATGTCCACCTAGTGTGTAAGTTTAAAACATAACATATCTTTTTTGTGTTAAGCCAAAACATTTAATTTATATTTACAAAGAGACAGTGTATAGCTACATGTATTTTCAATATTTTCACATATCAAATTTTGCATATTATATCTTTATAATTATGTTAAGTTAGTGCCAAATGTTTGCCTTTTTTACGATAATAGAGATATTATTTCATTCACTGACAGTATACATTGTATTTAGTGTGAAGAATGAATTAGAAAAGATATTCATTTATTTTAATAATTGTTTTTATAGGGTAATTATTAAAATTGTGTTACGTTTATAGGGGTATTTCTTTAAATAAAAGTTAGCATATACATCAATTGTGTTGTTATTGCTCATAGTTGTCCAATCACCCCTGTACTTAAGATTTATAACCATTTGTGTAATGACAGTATTTTTTGTGTTTTGCTCACCATCATTATTGACAAATTTCAATTAACTATGAATAAAGATATGACATGTGTTTTTAATTTAATGTATACACTATCGGAAATGTGATAGAAAAAAAACACTCCAAAACACTACAATTTTGAATTTTGTATAACTTTTACAAATAAAATTCGTGGTCAGGTTTCGATTGTTCTAAATAGCAATCACCTCCCTCACACACCAGAATTTATAAGCACACAACAACTGACAACGGATATAAATTAAAGTACTGTATTGTTATCTATAGGCTTTTTACGCTATATAACACATGCTTTATAAAGGCCCCTTCACAATTTGCTGAAGGCCTCTTCGCAATTTCAAAATACTAGATTCACAACTGAAAAAATGTCACTTTCACAATCAAAGATTACATTGGATACTGTCGCGAAACAGTAAAACAACAAAATTTCAAAGTATATTAAGTAGCGACACCTCTTATTCTAAAATATTTACAAACTGATGAAATCAGAGGTCCTTAAAAAAAGTTTAAGTAGCCCTGTGAATGTTTTGTTTTTACCGGGATCTTTACAGATAAAAAAACACAAGAGAATTATATTACTAGTATTTGACATTGACAGTCATGGTCTATTCAAAGTAAATGTCACATTTAAATTAATTACTTAAAATAATTGTTTGGAAGCAAGTCTTGTTTTGTCAAAGTATCAATGAAACCGAAAATAAATAACAAAATTAACCAAAATTTGAAATTGATGGTCATTTAAAGTTCAAGGCCAAGGTCAGATCGACTTTTCACTTTCAAATAAAAATCACAAGAAGAAAACGAAAAGCGGATGCTCGCTCGGTACAGTATGAGCGATAAACCCTTAAACTCTAGTTGCTGTCGGTAATCTTCAAGAGCGTAGCTCCAACCCTCCTGGGCAAACGAGTCGTTAAACCTGGCACTAACTTCCGGTTATGAAGTGTTCTTAGCCATCATTGCCGTATCATGTCGGTGTACACTACAAACTTCCAGCTGCCATAATAATTGACCAGGCCGTGGAATCTATCCTGTAGTCGAAAAATAAAAATTAAAAAAAAACATCATAAGTTAGATGATACTACAAAGCATTGGGCATAAAACTGCCCCCCTGTGTTACACAATACCTCCGTTTCATGTAATAAATATTAGGTGTCACGGCAGTCACTGCTTGTCACCGGATTTTCACTACATTTAATTCTTACTTTTACACATGTAATATAACAAGTTCTCAATTATATTGAAATGTATTAATGATATATGAAAGCTGTTTTTTTAATTAATTAAATTGATATTGATAGTAATGACACAAATGAATAATTATAACAAGTACCTTGCAGCTATACAATCTTAAAATAAAATTTATGAATGAACACTGCATACATGAATAACAAGATACATGTATATGACAACAAGTGTATGCATATACAGTAATGTCAAGTAAAAATAAAAACTACTGATTTTACGGGAAATAAAATGGTATAAAAATACGAAAGCAAAAATTTTAAACTGCAAATAATTCAGCAAAAGAAACTCAAAATATATTAACTAAAAAAATTAAAATAACATTGCTTACATAAATCTATAGAAATTAACTTACTCCTAATGGAAAATAATGTCCTGTACAATGCCGCAAAGGAATGAAAGTTGAGGGGCGTTTTTGGTTTCAGCCCGAAAAAAGTTTTAAAAACCCACCCCTAAAATAATGGTAAAACAGTGAGGGTATTTTTTTTGGGCAAGGGCAAAAGTGTTTTTGGGGCGCTATCTGAGGGGTATCTACTTTGTCACCAGTTAAAATCAAAAACGTTAAAGATTAGTTAATTAGTGTAGGGAATTTCATGATTTGTTACATGCAAGTTCAGACAAGCAATAATAAATCGACATCTAGCACTGATGTCCATTTCAGAATAAAACCTGGAAATGTGCTATTCTGTCCATATATTGAAAATGAAATCCGTATGCAAATTTGTGACAGTGTGCCCTTAACTAGAAAACAAGGGATTGAACTTTTGACAGGGGTCAGAGGTTATCACACATTAGCTGTCAGAAACATATTTTAAAATCAGGCCACTAGGCATATCCTTATTGTGATAACATTCATTATCATCGAACCACCCAACTAGAAAAAAGAAAAAAACAAATGGTATGGAAAGAGCTTAAGATATCACAAGCACAAACATAATGTCGTGCTGAACGACCTTAAAGGAAATACAGAGAAATCAGAACCACTACACCTGCGGGCTATCTATATCTTCTGTGACTGTATCTTATCCAAATTGTGTTTTGTTTGGAAACAAGACGATGAGATACTGAATTATTTTACTGAACTAACAATTTTCATACTATACACTGCTCAAAACAATTAAAGTGATATTATGCTCATACAAGTGTAAATGGTGAGTGCAGAGATAAAAGAACTTTATGCCATAAGTGTGTCTAATTAAAAAAAAATAATGCAAAAATAATTTACATTCAATTAAACACGGACAGTTCTATAAATATCGTACGAAATGTATCATTAACGCTTAATTAAAAAAGGAGTGGGACAAAATGTTTTAATTTAGTGAGGTTTCATATTTTATACTTAACATTTTTGATATCAATAATTGGTATATCAACATAATTATAGACATTTTCTTGAAATATTGGGAACATTCGTGGATTTATTAACGTCCGTTACAAACAAGGTGTAAAACCGATTTGATGCTCATGTTGGTCATGTTCATTGTGCTTGAAAAGAGATCAAGATGGACATTAGCAGGGTAATGTGGCTAAAACACTTGAAGAGTAGAGGGGCGTCATCACAAGGTTGTGGACGCGATTCTAGGGACGTGGCATTATACAAGACGTCGTGGTCAAGGGCGTTTACGATGCACAACTGAAACTGAAGATCTCAGCATGACGATCCGTAGAGAATGTACAGTAAAGTTTCAGTTTCAGCTGGTCATCGGACAAAAGGCATCCATCTAATACTACAACAATTCTATGAATGCTAGATTTCTAGCAACCGGTCATATTTTAACACGTGTGCATCGAACCAGGAGACAGGACTCTGCCGTTACCATCTAAACTGGAGAATACGAGATAAGGAATCTGTGCATTTACTGACGATAGTTGATTCCGTTTATCTACATGTGATAAGCAAACACGAGTGTGGACACCAGGTAAACGGTACGGGGATTGGAACTACATGGATTTTGAGCTGTAGGTGATACTTTTATTTTAATGCAGAGCAATGCCCTAGATGGACTACCTTTACAAAATGCAATTCTTAGCACGTTCCTCCCACCTTAATGCTATGGAACATGTGTGAGACGCATTTCAGAATGGGATAATCAACCAATTGCAGCACATATTTATTTATTACTGGTGCGACTGAATAGGAAAATAAGAATCCCCAAAGAAAGCCAAACACGGAAACATTGAAAATGTTGCAGGCTCGGTTTGATTGAGCCTGTTCATTGATGGTATTGTTAAGTACAAACTACCGTCCATGACCCCTAGCACCGGCTTAAGCAGAATTCCACACTTAACATGAACTGGTATAATTTTGAATTTTGAAACATCCGCAGATGTGTTCATATGGCGGTTATCATGTCACCTTAAATGTGAAATGTAAGTGCAATTCCATGAAAAGCGGCATATGGTCCCTAAGAAAAAATGCGTGAGCCCTAAACGAAAAAACAATGGACAGAACTCAATGAAATGGAATTTTGAAAGGGGATCAGAGGTTATGAGACCTGCATATCACAGATATGACGTCAAACGACAAACTTAAAAAGCAGGTCACATATCCTAATGGTGATTCAACAGTATTCAAAGTAGGAATACTGGAACCACTCAAAAAGAAAATAGCCGAATAGAAAGAACTAAATTTCCAACTAAAGTACAACAATAATGTCGTGCTGAACGATCTTTAAGGATCGGAAATATAACATCTCTGATTGAATGTACAGGGCGACTTTTTACAGCCTCCACACGGCACAAACAATTGGCGATAAAATAGAGAAAAAAAGAATCCCCAAAGAAAGACCAACACTGCAAAATTGAAAATATTGCAGGCTCCGTTTGATTGAGCCTGTTCATGGACGGTACTGTCAGGTACAGTCAGTGTCAAGCCCCCTAGCACTGGCCTAAGCAGAATTCAACATTTAACATGAACTGGTACAACTAAAGCCACCTTTATTAGGAATGTACCAAAGCGATGTCGTAAGTATTTCAATCGCCGGTCGGATGTTTGCATTTTCAATCATTATGGAAATTACAGTAATAAATACTATAGAGACCAATTTGTATGTGATATAAAAAATACGAGAACAAAGATCAACAAGGCAAAGCGACGTGCCCCCGACACAACCCCTTGTGTTACAAATATTATCCTTTAATGGTTTTCTCTATTTTATTTGAGGATTTAGAAATTTATACACATTAAACTCTTCATGTATGTACATTATTTACGGTTAATGATGCTTTTGAATTCACATAATTTATATAGTTTATCACAAAAATATATCAATTTTCACGCACCTACTCTTGCATGCACAGTGAGCACTGGCAACGTATCCCTGTATTTCTGAGGCAGACTCTGCTAACGTGTTAAGTTAAATTTGCAATATCTCATGATAAAACACGTATTGTACATTCATCCAGAGATTTGTAGGCTTTGACTGTTTCTTTTATGTTAAATTTCGGGAAGTTGTAAGAAGTTATGAATATCTGGATACAGAACAATCGACCATCTGCTCACACTTCTCTCTTCCCTTCGGAGTGTTCACGTCGCAGAGAAACAACAGGACATCGGCGGAAGATTAGGAGCTTGGCTAAATTTATACCACATTCACGTTGACTGGTTAAAATCCGAGCGCTGTTGTTATACAACCAAACTTATCCTTCGTCGCTTCTATTGCAACCTACGATTAGGCTGCGGATGTTATGCCATTAGCCAAGGGAAGAGGCCCTACATTGAAGGTAGGGACGACAAAGAAAGCGTGCTAGGGTGTGTGAGCCCCTAGCACAGAGAGTGACGACATAAAAGGCAGGCTCTTTGCTGGCATAACAGAATTTCATCGGGCTACCTCCGTTTCCTTTTGTCTCAGATTACTGTACATCTAGGTTCTCATTGGTCTCCGTCCAACTTTTGGCTCAAAATTTATAATTTATATCTTTGGCTTATAACTCCGTTAATTTGAGCTTTGAAATTAACCCTTTATGGGCTTGACTGGTGACATGTCCGGGGTCTTGACTTGACAGCGTGACCTTGCTGGCAAATGGACCCACATAAAAGCAGTCAGATAGTCAAACTAAATCTAATTTTTATATGCCTTTTCAATGCGTCTGCGTTCAAATTAGCTAGCTGCTTTGAGATTTTCTGAGAGATCTACATATCATCAGTCATTTTGAATTTTGCAAATCAGTCCTCTGCACATTTGCCGAAAATCGAAGTCAACCCAAAAAATTCAACCAATGTGACATATTGCCAATATGAAGGTGCCACCCAGATACGGAAGAAGACCCAATAGAAAATAATTCTTCTCCAGGGTAATTTGCGGTATTTGAAACTGTGCGAGTATTTTAAACTATATTTGTTGCAAGTGTGTAGTTTTGAATAATTTATGATTACTTAAAAAGTGGGTTTTTTGTATATTCTCCAGGGCGTCATTTTTTTGACGGAAGGATTAAAGAGTAGACAGGTTAATTTAAACAGTGCTTCAACACATTATGTAACATATTATATTTCGAGCCACATTTGACTTATATACTGTTGGTGTTTAAATTTCAGGACAAAATATAATTTATCAAGGATAGCGGTATCCATAATTAAACTTCTAATGTGACTTATTTACTTTAGAACATAGGGTACGAAACTTGACAAGGCCGAGAGATCAAAATTTTGTTCATTCGGAAAATCTCGGTCAATACTATACGTTTTGTTTGCATGTGTTTGCGGAAAAAAGGCGTGAGCTATATACTACTAGTATTTAAGTGTTAAATCAATTTTCAAGAGTGACATCAAGAATGGTAAGTGTCTCAATGTGGTAATTTTAGTGTTTTGCAAATGTAAGTCATTTTCAACACCTTACTACCTGACGTTTTGAGAAATCAACTAGTTTTCGCGAACAGGAAATTAATAAGATTGCACAACAATGTTTTCTTTGTCATATTACTGTTTTGTAACATTGCCAGCAGTTGTCTGAAAACCAGTTCAGAAAAAAAACCGTTAAATTCACTGAGACATCAGTTGATAGGCTGAAAATGGGATGTTCACAATTATGGATATTACAGTTGTTTAGGCAGTAGCGGATAGCTAAGGAGATTGGCTCTGCTTATGTTTTTGATAATGATATTTAGAAAATCTCATCGATACTTTCCAATAGTCAAAATACTTCCGTTTTAAAACTTTTGTTTTAGCAATAACTTTAACCTTACATGCACACTCTTTGTTTATCTTTAGGCATATAGTTAAGTTAGTACTGGATAGTTTTTGGGGTATGTTATATGTAGGTGATAGTCAATGAGAGGAAATCTCAAAACGTTCTAATTTAGTATTTATAAAGTACATGTTTCAGAAACATGTTTTGGTGTTATTGGTATGAAAACTGTTACATTTGATAGTAATCTTTCAAACTTTTCTACATGTAAACCCAGGATATATATCATATAACACATGATTGCACAACAATGTTTATTCAGATCAATGATTGGCATTTAACTTAAAACAAATCACAGAGAAATCAAACAAACTCAAATCACATGCGTTTGATTATCAGTTCTGGACTTTCATGTCCATGAAACTTACTTCTGATATAATGGAAAGTGTGTTAAATAACATATTTCATCCAAATTTTCAACAATAAGTGTATAACAGTGAGGTATAACAACAACAACACCACCTTTTGCATTTGAAGTTGGCCAAGGTGGAAAACTTGGAACTGGTTCACCTGTTGCAGTATCAACGATTTTTCCACCACTGTCAAGCACATTGTGAAAGCAACATGCGAAAATCTTTGGTACATGGCCTATACGCAGTCCTGCAGTTACTTCTGTTGAAGGTTTACATTATAATAGAAAAGCATCTTTTAAGTTTTGCTGCAAAGTTTTCTTTTACTATTAGATTTCCTGGAATTGTACGATTATTCTGCCGTGCCACTTGACACCATCTTTACTTCAGAGATCCAAAAGAGGCTGTATCAGATGAGTAGCATTTGGTACTAATTGATATAGCTCTATCCCGTTACAACACTTTAGCATATTCAAACACTGACATGCTTATATGACTAATTACACAATCTATCACTGCTGTTTCCTTTACATTATGTTTGTTGAAATGTACAAGAAATGCTTAAAGGTTGGAACATCCATCTAAGCTTTCTTAGTGTAGGCTATTTTATTTCCCTCCATTGACCCTGTTAGTGGATTGAGTCCCTGGGTTTTGGCTCTGGATTAATAAGAAATGGTTGAAGCATAACTCCATCAGTTGCTGCACAATACATCACTGTAAAGCACTGTTTATCTCGACCAGACACATGGGGAAATTGAAAACAGCCAGCGCCTGTCATTTTTTGGCCCAATGACTCGTCCTGCAACACTTCTTAAAGGAAAATTCACACTCATCTGCATTGTTTATTCTAGAGGGTTTGTCAAGCATATCACTAGATTTGAGGAAGTCTCTAGAGTTATTGTACCATTTATCAGTTGGATCTTTGGTGAATTTAGCTCTGTTGTTTTCAAGGGGTGTCTCATTCCAAAGTTGAGCTATATGTTTATTTCTTTCAAGAAAGGCATAATACCAGTCGTAACGGAGTCTTCAACCTGTAAACGGAGTTTCTCTTTTCTAAATCTGAATAATCTGTTGAACAAAGTTAAGAAACTCATATAGTTTAAGTCCAATACCCCAATTTTCTTCAGCCAGATGGCTTTAGCCTCTTCATAATTATTGAAAACTGGATAAGGTCCCTTTCTTTTGTCTACATCTACTTCACCTGACCATCGTTTATATAAATAACCATATGATAAGTTATATTGCTCTGCAGCTTTTTTTATGGATACCTTTTTGTTTCTTTTGCAAGTTATGCCCTCCGTGCCTTTGAATGTTTTCCAAGCGACAAGCATTTCTTCTTTATACCCTCTGGCTCTTTTAACATATGATCTTTCAGTTGATGGTTTCTTCTTAAAGGGTTTACCCATCATTGGCTTTCTAAAATGAATAAAACAAAATAGATAAAAAGTTATTATATAAAACTATGGATAGAATAATCAGCTTTTTTTCAAATAATCACTATGGTTAACTATAGTTATGGGCAATGAACCCTATAATTCGCTACTGCCTAAACAACTATTTATGACACTAACATTGCTTTCTTAAGAAAATGAACTGTTTCATAAGACTTTTGGATATTTTTTCACATATTGTCAGTCCTGTGATCAGAAATTTAAATGAGAATTTCATTTTGCGAAAATGTTGTCGATCATCCATATACATCAAGATAATTTTATGTATCAGGCATATCATTCTCCTAGAAAAATCACATATATTGAGCATGGATACTCAATTTTAATATAGGTTTAGGGGCAATTTCTTATAATGTAAGTATATTTGAAAATCAAAACAGTACCCTGACCATCTTATCAGTAACAATTTGTATAAACAAAATGTATCTGGATACAATATTATCCATATCACTTCAAGCTAATAATGAGGAAAAAATAAAGAGATGAATTTGTGCAATCTGATGACCAATGAGAAAGATGATATATGCCCAAACTTGAGCTACACTAATCTGCTGAACAAAGGAAAGTAGATTGAATGTTATTGTAGACTTACTGTAGACAAAAAAAATTCACATTATTAACCTTGAACTTTTATGCATAATTGCATAATATTTATCATGTGACTGTTTTCTTTGTCACTATTCTAATCTTGCACATAATCATTTATGCCTTCGTTTCTGCAGTCCTATACTTGTCATTGGTTCTTGTCAAGTGATTGAAATATCAATTATCTTACCATTTTTCTAGTCAGTTGAATGCTTTTACACAATTTATCCAATTTAATTGTTTCCTTGTATTAAGAACTAATATGCCTGCTCGTGTGCGTAGGGAAAGTGTACCATGACATTAACTGGATCGATGTAATTTTAAACCTTACAATCTTGTTTACTATATTTTACCAAATGTCAAAGTAATATCAGGGTAGAAAATTACAAACTATTTTAGATAAGATAAGGGTAAAACGATATTTATAAAATTTTCATTCATGGTTTGAATACAAAGTGAAACGCACGTATGAAAAGTATAATTAACAAGGTCAACAAGGAAAGGTGGCGTTCAATGAACGCAACCCACACACGACCCTAAACCTAATCGAAGATGTGTAAAACTAGAATATTTTGCCTTCAGATGCGTGTATTTGATTACTTATCTTAAACCATGGGGAAAACAAACAGTACTGTCTATGTTTAATACGACAATTACAATTTTATATGATTTGCTTTATAAAAGCACTTGCAAAATCATATGAACCAGACTTCTTTTTAATTGCTGTTGATTTGGACTATTGTTGAGGAAGTGCTGATAACTCTACTGAAACATTTATAACAAACAAAAACACATTAAACTGACGAAATAAGAAACTGTTTTACGTACATGAATACATGTCTGCAATTTACTTTCGAAATATTGCGTTTAATAACGTGTACTGGCTATTATGTTAGAAAAGTGAAGTAGTAATGATCAATGTTGTTTTTTATAACATCATTCAAACAGGATTGTGTTTATTTACAGGAATCTTCTCAGGGTCCTTACAATCGTAGTGAAAATGGAAATATTGTGACCACTGAAAGCGCAAGTGGCATATCTCATTCAGAAATGTGGGAAGGGATTTGCCACGAGAAAGGTAATTGAAATTATTTTTGGTATGCAAAACCGCCATTATCTTTTAGTACTCTTTTCTAACATCTAAAATTAATAAGTAATGTGGAATAGGATTCTTATTCAATCAAACCAAAGCATCAGATAAAGACGGCTGAAAATTAACTTCAAGTCTGCATCTGTAAATTAGTCGTCTAGAATTGTCAAACAATGACAATGGACTATTGCAGTTTTGATAAGATTAATGTTATAGGCATACAACATTCAATATTTATTTCAAATACGGAGGTTGTCCAAAATAAATATATCTCTTGAAGGTGACATCTGTCTCGAAAAAGAGAACAAAAGAAAAGTCGTGTAAACTACTTGTCGTGAAAACGAATCGTCATACAGTTACCTTAGTAACATGATAACGGCGCACGAAAAAAATTTGGTTATAGTCATCTTATTTGAAATAATCTTTACAGAGGTTTATCTATTTTCAACATCAAAATGTTTAATAGAAAATGTATTTTTCTCATAGGCTTAAAACCATGATATTTGGTTTTATATTTTCAGGTTTTGGTGTGTTGAGAGATGAGACGGCTAATGTGTTGTCTACACATTTAATTGAACATCTTCCTGCCAATGTTATATGCCTGATTTGCCTGCAGAAACTGCGGGCATGTACATTTCTTGAATGCAGGCATCTACTTGTTTGTCAAGATTGCCAGCATTTCTTTACATCTTGTCCTGTGTGCCGCAAAAAAATTAAGTCTTTTGTGCCAACCATTTTGGAATTGCCATTTAGATCATGACAACTGCAGGCATAGAACCTGGATCTCGCGCACGTTAAACAACGAAGGATTGAGATTAATTTGGACATTTGTATAACATTTATTTAACAATCTGCTTTTCTGAGAAATGAAACAATAAGTATTAAACTATCAGAGGCTGGACACCCCCACGTTTCAGTTGAATTCAAGAGGTGGAGTGCATCGCGGTTGTCATAGGACAATGTCATGTCTTTTATTGTCATACATTAGAAACTGCAATAAGGCATGTACAATTTACAGTCATTTTACTCTAAGCATAGCTGTGATCTGTTAATTGTGATCTGTTTTATATAGATGTTGTCATCAATTTTCTTTCATTTGTTATTTATGTAATCGTTTCAAAATGTCTTATCTTTTTCATTGTTTCTAACTATTTGTTATTTATGTAATCGTTTCAATTTTTTTAATTTATTTTATCGTTTCTAGCTTTTATTTGTTACTAAAATATAATAGGTTGTTGATAATCGGCATTGTAGTGTTCTTATTCGCAATAATTCAGCTGCTACATTTTTATATATACATTAGACATAAGAAGAGCATGCTTATAAGGTATGAGATGTTTTAGTTTAGGTTTTACATTATAAGTTTATGGAGAAAGGATGTATATGCTGTTATTGTGTTTTGTAAAATTTATATTATGAATTTACTCTGCCATATATCAATACGTTCAATATTATCTGGTCAGTAAATAACGAAGGGATCATAAGATCAATTGATATATTTTTACACTATGCATTAGAAAAAAAGATGTATGAATAATTTTTGATGTAGTAGCAAAGGTTTTATCGTACTAGTATTTGATCTGGGTTTGTGTTTTACTGTTGGGGAAAATACTTTTTCGCGTGGCGTTTGAGGGTAGCAGCATTTTTACGAGGAATGGTATTTTTGCTGTTGCTCACAAACATGAATTTATTCTTTTACCTAGAAATTAATATTTTATTTGGACACGGTTTCTATTTCTTTTCACATTTTTAACTGACAAAATGGAATGTTGTATGTAACAATCCAAAGTTTTAGTCACACTTTAATTAATAAGAGTTCCTCAAGAGATATCAACATGAAACTTTGTAGGTATATAGATCTAAATGGATAGATGTACAGTGCACATGAACTTGAACTCCGCCATGCCAAATTTAAAAGTTATTGCCCTTTGTTCATTTTCAACTTTGTTCGGGAAATAACTCGGAAACCATAAGAGGTATCAACAAGAAACTTTGTAGGTTGATAGATCGCATTGATTAGAAGTGCAGTGCAAAGAACAGTACCTCTGCCTTGCCTAATTTTGGAATTATTGCACTTTGAACTTTTTCCAGGGACATAACTCTGAAACTACAAGACGTGTAATTTCCTGTGTCCAAAACCTATTCAGGGAGCATCACCCGGCTCAAACCGGGCTTTTGTTTATTATTATTATGTCTTTTTTATTTATTCATTATAATTATTATCATTCTGGTATAGGGCGATTGACCAAAGTTAAGTTACGTTTGTAGTGTTGTGTTTTGTAAATAATTAAAAGATATTATATACCAAATGTGTTGCTATTACTCATAGTCTTTTTTTTACAATTCATCCCTGGCCTATAGACATACTTATAGATTTGTTACCATTTGTGTAGTGACCGTATTCTAGCGTTTAAGCCTCCATCATTATTGAATATGAATACAGATACGATCGATGTGTGTGTGTTTGATTTGATGTATACATAACGAGAAATGTGCAAGAAAAAATTACAAATTGCATTTTGTATACTTTCTTGAGATTAAATTCGTAGTTATGGTCCAAAGCTCTTAATTGATCAACCTCTTCTGATATACATACAACAACTGATGTGGTGTATCCTTACTTTAAAGGTTTTTCACTATATAACACGGATTTTATAAAGGCCCCTTCACAATGTGAAGAATGCCTCTTAGTAATTTCAAAATGCCAGGTTCATAACTGAAAACATGTGTCTTTCACAATCAAAGATTACATTAAACATTATAACACAATCTCAAAATAAGCAGCGTCATCTCTTATTCTATAATATTAACAAGTTAATGAAATCAGAGTTCCTTAAAAGTTTTGAGGTACCCCTGTAATTTTTTGTTTTTATCAAACATAAAAAGATCAGCGTTATAGTGCCTTTATATTAATACCGTGTGTCTTCTTTCATAGTTCATACAGCGGTTATCATGGAACCTTCAGTTTAACAAGAGCCTCCGCCGGGACCTTTACAGACAAAAAAAGAGAAGTCTATCATTTGACATTGACAGTCGTTTTCTGTTCAAAGTAAATGTCACATTTAAATTACTTAAAATAATTGTTTGGTAGCAAGTTTTGTTTTGTCAAAGTATCAATCAAACCGAAAATAAATAACAAAATTAACCAAATTTAATAATTTGACTTTGAGGGTCAAGGTCATTTAAAGATCAATGCCATGTTCAGATCGATTTTAAGTTTCAACCAAAATTCACAAGAAGAGAACGAAAGTCGGATGTTCGCTCGGTACAGTCTGAGCGATAAACCCTTCAACTCTAGTTGCAGTCGGTAATCTTCAAGAGCCTAGCTCCAACCCTCCTGGGTAAACGAGTCGTTATACCGGGCACTAACTTCCGGTTATAAGGTGTTCCTAGCCATCCTTGTCGTATCATGTCGGGGTACACTACAAACTTCCAGCTGCCATAATCATTAACTAGGCCGTGGAATCTATCCTGTAGTCGAAAAGTAAAAATTATAAAGCATCATAAGTCAGATGATAGTACAAAGCACTGGGCATAAAACTGCCCCCTGTGTTACACCATACCTCCGTTTCATGTAATAAAGATTAGGTGTCACGGTACCTGCTTGTCACCGGATTCTCACTGCAATTAAATTTTACTTTTACACATGTAATATAACAAGTTCTCAATGATATTGAAATGTTCTAATGATATATGAAAGTTATTTCATCAATTAATTAACTTGATATAAAGTAATGACACAAATGAATAATTATAACAAGTACCTTGCAGCTAGTACAATCTTAAAATTAAATTCATGAATGAACACTGCATACATGAATAACAAGATATATGACAACAAGTGTATGCAAATACAGTAATGTCAAAAAAGGAAGAAAAAAACACAGATACTTTTTCCACAATCAATCTTTGAAAAGCAAAACAATGATGAAGAAGGAAACATCTGCACTTTTGCAACAACAAATACCAAAACTAAAAAGCACTGATTTTACGGAAAATTAAATCGTATAAAAATACGAAAGCCAAAAGTTTAAACTGCAATTAATTCAGCAAAAATCAACTCAAAATATATTTGCTAAAAAAATTTAAATAACGTCGCTTACATAAATCTGCGCTTTGTACAGTGCGTAAAAGTCGTGCAGCCCATGTCTGCCATAATGAGTACAACACGTGATGTATTTTGTTGCAATGCAAAAGTGATTTTGAGGCGCTATCTGAGGGGTATATACTTTGTCTCCTGTTAAAGTTAAATACGTAAAATATAAGTTAATTATTGTAGGGAATTTCATGATTTGTAACATGCAAGTTAAGACAAGCAATAATAAATCGACATCTAGCACTGATGTCCATTTCAGAATAAAACCTGGAAATGTACTATTCCGTCCATATATTGAAAATGAAACCCGTATGTAAATTTGTGACAGTGTGCTCTTAACTAGAAAACAATGGGTTGAACTTTTGACAGGGGTCAGATATTACGATGCCATCATATCACACATTAGCTGTCAGAAACATATTTAAAAATTAGGCCACGGAAATACAGAGAAATCAGAACCACTACACCTGCGGGTTATCTATATCTTTTGTGACTGTATCTGTATCCAAATTGTGTTTTGTTTGGAAACAAGCCGATGAGCTTCTGAATTTTATAGCATAGTAGTTATTTTACTGAACTAACAATTTTCATACTATTCACTGCTCAAAACAATTAAAGTGATATTTATATGCTCATACAAGTGTAAATGGTGTGAGCATAGATAAACGTCAAAATAACTTTATACTTTACAATAGGTGTGTCCAATTAAAAACAAAATGCAAAAATAATTAATATTCAATGTGACCCACGGACAGCTCTATAAATATCGTACGAAATGTATCATTAACGTTTAATTAAAAAAAAAGAGTTGGACAAAATGTTTTAATTTAGTGAGGTTTTATATTTTATGCTAAACATTTTCGATAAAAAAAGAACATTACCTTAGACATTATATTGAAATATTGGGAGCATTCGTGGATTTATTTATGTCCGTTACGAACAAAAAAACTGATTTGATGCTCATGTTGATTACGTTCATTGTGCTTAAAAAGAGATGATGCATGAAAATGAATTTTTATTTTCCTAACTTGCGTATGCAAAAGTGTAAGGTGGCACTTAAATCAAGCGAAGTCGCCAGGGCGGTGCAAATAATTCAAGATGCACATTCGAAGCGTAAAGTCGTTTACGATACACAACTGAAACTGACGACTTCTACATACGGTTTTAAAAATTATGACATATCTACTTTGTGTGAAGTCAAAACATGTTTACTTTATATTTGCAAAGAGACTGTGTAGCACTTATTAATATGTTCTGATATCATATTTGAGCATAGTATATCTTTAAATCCTGGGAAGTTGTAAGAAGTAATGAATATCTGGATAAAGAACTATCGACCATCCCTGCTTCTGGTAGGTACGCTACATGGACCTGGGAGACTTTCAGACTATCTCCCCTCGGAGCGTACACGTTGTAGAGAAAGCACATGTTTTCGGCGGAAGATTGGGAGCTTGCCTGACTTACACTACGGACACGTTGACTGGTTAAAATCTGAGCGCTGTTGTTCTACAACCAAACTTATACATCGTCGATTAGGTGTTAAGCTTCTATTGCAACCTACAACAAGGCTGCCGATGTTCTGACATAAACCAAGGGAAGTGGCCCTAAAAAAGGGCAGAGACGACGAAGAAAGTGAAGTGTGCTAGAATGTGTAAGTCCCTAGCATAGAGAGTGACGACTTTAAAGGTAGGCCCATTGCAGGCGTAAGAGCGCTTTTCAGGGCTACCCCCGTTTCCTTTTGTCTCAGGTTACTGTTCATTTAAGTACTTATTGCCCTCCGACCTTCTTTTGGCTCAAAATTCATAGCTTTGTCCGATACTCCGTTGAAATTGCATGGAGGTAAATTATCACCAATTTTGGCATCATCATTAGCCCTTTAAAGGCATGACTGGTGTCATTTGCGGCGTCCGTACTCGACAGCGAAATCAGCTTTTCTGCCCTTGCGGCCGAATGTACCCTCATCAAGCAGTCTGTCAGTCAGACTAAATCTTTAATTTTTATGTGCCTTTCCAAAGCGTTATTTGACATTTTGCCAAACAGTCTTCTGCACATTTGCCGAAAATCGAAGTAAACCCAAAACATTCAACCAAAGTTACAAATTGCCAATATGAATTTGCCACCCAGGTACGGAATTAGACCCAACCCCATTAAAATCTTTAATATATTTTGAAATGTCCAAATTTGAGTCATTTACAGATTTATTGGTCATATTTTTTGCATATGTAAAGTTGCATATGTAAAAGTGTGTTATATGATGACTTTAAAACTTGATATTTTTTGTGTATTCTCAAGGACCTCATTTCTTGACGGAAGGATTAAAAATGTACTAGACCAATCTACTAAACCGGCAGAGTATATTAGTTAAGTTCTGAACCAGAAAATTCAAAAATGATTTATTTTTGTCAGTCTGGTAACCAAGAATGGCATGTTTAAAATTGTTGCTAAACTTATACATTGACCTGTTGACTAATAATTTGGTGTCTGACTAAATTTGTATCTGCAAAACCAGTTAAATAGATCTGAATCTCCTTTGTGATAGATCAAACTTGTCATTGACAACAATATCAAAATGATTAAACTTTTTTTCTATGCTAAATCTTCTGATATGGAAAATGATGACATGAAAGTACGATAAGCAAGTTAATTTTGTTATGTTTTAGACAATTGACAATGAAATAGATTATTTCTTTTTAAAGAAACATTTGCTGTTGAGAATAATAATGATAATGTTAACCGTGTGCTCCCGATTCAGTCTGCTGAGCGGGGACAATAATGACATAGTAATAGCTTTGAGCTAAAACCTAAAAAGCTCTACCAGAAAAAATGAAAATATTATTAACCTTTGTGAAAGATGAATTTAGTGGACATGAAAAATTTATAGCAAGATCAATCTCTTGTCGCAGAAAATAGATCACAATGATTCTTCTTCGCGTTTTAAAATTCGATTCCTTTTGTGTATGACCAATTTGTTGACCAGTTAATAATGACTCGATTGACAACAACTAGCAATCAAACAAAGATTATTTCAGAACAAAGTATATACATAACTTCTTGCCTACAATAACATAATCATGGTGATGTAGGGATAGGTTAAGTTTTAGTGATAATATGTTATATTTTATATTTTCGCCAGGGCGGTGCAAATAATTCAAGATGCACATTTCGAAGCGTAAAGTCGTTTTTACGATAC